TCCAGCTAAAGGCCACTGGGGACAGTGGTGTGTGGGCGGAAGCAGAGCCCCCAAGACGGAGCTGTGGAGGCCTGGACCAGGCTGGCAGACACAGCGAGGCTGCCCTGCACCCCCCAGCCCCTGCCTGCTCCCCAGGCGGCAGCACCAGCCTCGGAGCCAGACCAGAGCCACCGCCCTCCTCTCCAGACCCAGCTCGGTGTCTGGCCTTCAGTCCATCCTCAGGGCCTGCACACGCAGGGCGGGGGCCAGCCAAGGGCTCCTCAGACCTCGGGGCGGGGCCCAGGTGGACACATTCTGCTCCATTTCCCAATAGTTCAGCCTCCAGCCCCCAGAAGTGTGCCCCCCACATTCCCAAAAAACCAACCCCCTCACCCAGGAGGCAGGAGCTCAGACTTGGCTGGATCCCCAGCTGGCCCACCCAAGCCCGACACACAGCAGGGACAGACCAGGGCCTGACTGCTGCTCTCTGGCCCCTCTGCCCCCTCTGGCCCCAGCCCCCTGGTCTGCTTCTCTCACCCTGCCCCTGTCACACTTCCTTGGGGACATGACCGGGGCCCTGGGGCCTGGCCTTGGAGGCTCCCTGCCCGAGTCCCCAGTTCCCTCTGACTCCCCCAGTTCACCTCTGCCCTCCCGACTGGATGCTGGCCTCCAGCACAGCTGGCGAGGGCCCATGACGCCACCAAGAGCTGGGCCCAGAGAAGGCAAGTGGCCCTACCCAGCCCCACACCCGGGCAAGAGTCACCGCAGGACAGTCCCTCTCTGCCGTGTGGCAGGGCTCTGCTGTCCCTCATACCCCAGCAACAGAACCCCCCGCCTTCCACAGGCCCAAAGCAATGACTGTCCCTGGCTCTCTACCCCAACTGTCCACTTTCTTGCCTTCTCCTGGTGCCCTGTCCAACTGTGAGCACCCTCGAGACAGCGTCACTGACCCCCCTTTCCCACCACAGGGCCCACGATGGCTGGAGGAGGGAGGTTCAGGCACTGGGCAGGCCACACAGTCACTGCTTCTCTCCACCGGAGTCAGCGGGAGGGGCTCGCTCTCTGGTCCCTCGCCTGCTTCTCCTCTGCTCTGGGGCTCAGCCTCTCAGGCCTAGGAGCCCACACCCAGCCCAGGCAACGGGCGGGGGGCCAGGGGCCAGGGCCTCACCTTCCCAAACCCCACGCTTCCCGCTGTCCCAGCCCCTCCACAGACCCGGCCCTGGCACCCTGGCTGTCGGGACTGGCACAGGGGCCTGTGAGCGAGTGGCAGGACCGCGTGGAAACAATTCAGGGTGCTCAGGAAGAAAGCCTGGGGAGCAGCGCTGCCCGTGGGAAGGGGTGGCCCCACCGGGCAGAGACCATCCGGGCCCTGCAGCCAGCCACCCCTGCCCAGGGCACTCAGAGCCAGACATTCCCGACCCTGGGCCATTACAAACCCCCCCCCCACACACACACCCCAGGTTTAGTTCTTAGTTTCCCAGATCAAGAAGGCCCCAGACCCGGGGCCTGGGCGGCCCATTTGGGGTGCAGGGGTGGCCGGTGGCACCGGGCGGAGCAGCCACCCCGCCCCATGGGGGCTGAACTGGCTACTCCAGGGCTCCTGACCCCTGGGGGAGGCGTTTTCGCCCCTGGTCCTGGCGCTTTCCTCCAGGAAGGAGGGGCCAGCGCCCTACAGGGTCCGGCCTCAGGCCCGCGGCAGCCGCACTCACCAGGCGCTCGGACATGGGCGTCTTGTCGCCCTCAGGGAGGTGCTGCTCCAGGGCCAGCACGATGCAGTTGGCGATGATGGTGGCCAGGATCATGTACTCGAACGGAGTGCGCGGGTTAAGGACGGCCGGGCGCCAGCGCGGAGCCCACCCC